CCAAGAAAATGAAAACCTCAAACTACTCATTCAGAGCCTTACAAGAAGGATCCAGAACAGAAAAGCCATGAAGGACAAGTATAAAGCCCTGAAATCAGAAAAAAAAGATGTTTCTGCAAAACAAAATGAGCTTCTTAAAGAACTTCGTTTGCTCTACTCAAAGCGTGATAGCATGCTAGTCTATGAAGTCAAGTTTGGTCCACTGAGACAGGAGATTGAAGCCTTAAGACAACACAACGATGAACTCCATCAAGAAATCAAACAGCGCATTGAGGAGATGGAAAACAAAACCGTCATAGATGAAATGTATAAAGCAATGAAAGTAGAGAAAAAGAATCTAACTCAGCGAAATAACATCCTGAAAAAAGAAATTCAGAAGGTGGAGAAAAGGCTTGTAAAGGAACAAGCTTTGGTAGACAAGAATAATGTCATGAAAGAAGAAAATGAAGCCTTGAGCCAACAAAACCACACATTACAACTCGAGGTTGAAGAGCTCTATGCCAGACTACAAAGTGAACAAATGCTGGAGGTCATGAATAAATCGCTGACAATGGAAAAAGATGCCATGGGCCGAGGAAAGGACGTACTTCGACAAGAGGTCCAGGAGCTCAATGAAAAGTTGAACAGCAAAAAAGCTTTAGAAAGTGCGGGCAACGCGATGAAGGCTGAGAAAGAGAACATCGACCAAGAGCCCTCCGCACATACGACGCTTAGCTCACCTGTGAGGCTGGGAAAATCCCAACCTCCCACAAAAAAGTGCTGGTTCAATTCCTGGGCCTGACTCTGATTTTTGTCTGCGTTTCTGTGTGGACTTTGTATGTTTTACCTCGTGTCTGCGGGGATTCTCTCCGGGTGCTCCGGCTTCCCCTACATCATAAAACAATTCTAATTCTAAATTGGCCTAAAAAAAACAAACAGTACCTAAAAGCAGGGCAGCACGGTGGTGCAGTGGTTAGCACTGTCACCTCAGAGCAAGAAGGTCCAGGGTTCAAACTTTGGTCGTCTGCGTTTCTGCGTGGAGTTTGTATGTTTCTCTCCTGGTGCTCCGGCTTCCCCCCCACCGTCCAAAGACATGCAGGTTAATTGGTGACTCTAAATTGTGCTTACATGTGAGTGGATGTTTGTTTCTATGTGCCCTGTTATGCTGTTCAATTTTCTCCCCTCTTCACCACCTCTCCAGGTGTTCCATTTTCCTCCTTATATAATATGTACATTCAAAAATGACCTAAAAAAATAAAAAATTAAATTAAAAATTAGATTATTTCTGGTTATTTATTAATAAATAGTTGGTAGTTTATAGTTGTTCCAATTTTGATGTGTTTTTACTAAAAAAGATCACATTTTTCCCACAACCGCTTCTCTGCACTGGTTCCCTGTATAATCCCGAATATAATTTAAAATCCTTGTGCTCACCTACAAAGCTTTAATGGTCAGGCACCATCATATCTCATATATCACAGGGTATCAAGAACCGGTTCCAAGTTAAGAGAGTGCGTGTCCGAGGAAAGTTGGTATAAACATCTTAAAGATCTTAAGGTGTTATACAAATCCCACATTGGCTGTTGGAGCAATGATGATTTCACACAGGCAGAAGTGGATGGTACCTTCTGCATTAGCATCCGGTGATCTAGCAATCTGTTCCTTTATAAAGTCTAGGTGCTTGTGCAGCTCCAGGCCATTGTCGTTCACCAGGTAGTCAAACATTTGTAGAGAGGCAGTCTCGTGCTGCAACAAAATGGCCTTGACGCTAGTAGCTCTTATCAGTTATAGGAAGTTTTGTGTGTCTGTAAACAACTATGTCTCTTTGTTCTGTTCAGTTAAATATGGTGTGCCTCAGGGGACGGTCTTAGGACCCATTTTGTTTTCCTTGTACCTGCTTCCCCTTGGACATATTATTCATAAACATGGCATTTCTTTTCATATTTATGCTGATGACACACAAATGTACTTGCCTGTCAGATCCACAGACCAGTTCACTTACCGACTGCCTTTGCGAAGTTAAAAAAATGGATGTCAAATAATTTCCTCCAGCTGAACTCAGACAAAACAGAAATCCTGGTCATTGGGTCCCAGCAGAAGGCAAATCAAATACTGCCATCTGCTGGTTCCCTAGTAAATCACATTAAGCCTGTGGCAAAGAACCTTGGTGTTTGGTTTGATAGTAATTTAAATTTCGAGCAGCACACCACAAAGCTTGTTCCATCATGTTTTTATCAACTTAGAAATATAGAAAAAATTCAATCTATGTTAACTCTTAAGGACACCGAGACCATTTTACACGCCTTCATCTCATCACGTCTGGATTATTGCAACAGCCTTTTCACCTGTTTAACCCAAAAATCTATTGATCGACTTCAGACTGTCCAGAACTCAGCTGCCAGGCTTTTAACCAGAACAAAGAAATATGACCACATTACTCCTATTTTAGCTTCATTACACTGGCTCCCAGTATGTTTTAGAATTGACTTTAAAATTTTATTGATCACTTTTAAAGCTCTTCATGGTCTCTCGCCTTGTTATATTTCTGAACTTTTAGTCCCATACACACCAGCACGTACCTTGAGATCCTCGGGCAGAGGTCTGCTGTCTGTTCCAGAGTCTCGACTGAAAACTAAAGGGGACAGAGCGTTTGCTGTCAGGGCCCCGAGGCTCTGGAACAGCCTGCCCGAGGAAATCAGGTCAGCTGAGTCAGTGAACTCTGACATACTGCTACTCTTTGCTGTCACTTCAAGCCATCTGGTACCAAGAATTTTATAACTATATATCAGTTAACAAATTTAAAAGAAGAATGAAAAGAGGGTAAACTGTGTCAAGGAGGGAGTTTAGTTGGTGGGTATTTTGAAGACTACATCACCTATTTGAGAATAATGTGATGAGAGGATTTGTGTCTGACAGGGAGATCTTTCCAGCCTTCTAACGGGTTAATATCTACTGGACTCCAGATGATTTTAATTTAGATTTCAGTGGACTACATTATATAGTAGATAAAAGCACTCAAGCTCGAGCAATCTGGGTGTTTAGTTGCATATTCTTGATTGCCAGCTCGTTTTTGCGATGAATCATAACAGCAGTTTGAAACCTCAGCACAACAGTGCTTTTGTTAGTCAGAGGAACTTAAATGGATTTGGATAATCTGCCTCTGCACTGCTAACATGGAGGAAAGAAACTAATGCTATTACAAGAAGTAATCTGCAAAAGATATTTTGGTTCACTCTTAGTTTGACACTTATGGCCGAAAGCAAAAGGACAAGAGAAATATAAATCACATAGTTTCTTACTTTCCAGGAAATGCCCAGATGTGCATCCCATCAAACATATGGGAAAATGTCCCATGTCCTGGACAGGGGTACATAAAAAAACATTTTGATTTGTTGTGTGTGAACTTCACACTAAGCTACTTGTGTTCTATTCCTATCTGGAAAACAGAGGATAATAAACACAGTTTTGCTTATATTCTCACTCATGCCCACACCCAGTGATAAAGAAGGTAAAACTTGAAACATGTAAGGACCTGTGCACCACTCACAGAGGTCATGGCAGAGCTGCACACAAAGGATGTCTCTGCGAGAGACGAGGAGTTCTGGCTGCCTCTCATTCAGAGTCTGTACAAGTCGTCCTGCCAAGTAACCCACCCTGTGCCAGCACACAACAAAACAACTCATTCCATACAAGATGTACAATGCAAAACACCACAAAACATCACAAACAAATAATTATGTAGAGATAAATAAGACTAAGACTTTATCTAACATTTGGAAATACAACCTCCTTTTGTTTCAGATGCTATTAACCTTTTTTATTGGTTACTGCTCTCAAGGATTCCTTGCAGTGAGTCAATTTGAACACAAAAGCTCTTCCAATTAACGAGAGCATCAGTTGAATGGAGTGAAGGAAGGTCATTCCACATCTGCTGTTCGACCATTAACACGGTCCTGGCTTGACCTACATCCTTCCACTTCATTTTCTAGTCTCTGGAACTGAGGTGTGTCGATGATTTTGATGAGTGGATGGGATCAATAAACACCTGGCAGAAGACAGGACAACAAAGAGCTATGAAAACCATTCATAAATCAAAACAGAAGAGTGCCAATAAGTCCAGCCTCTGTGTTTATCTTTGGGTGGAAGGGTGGTCTCAACAAAGACACCAGGAGATATATATACACACACACACACACATATAAGAATTAAACCAGAATGCAAAATAAAACAAGACAGATTTAAGTAAGAAACAGCGAGGTAAAATGCTGTTCCAGTCTTTGGGCCCGGACAGAAAAGGCTCGCTCACCTCTGGTCTTCAGCAGTGAGTCTTGCAAAGCTACAGGCCCACTGCTTGAGGAACTATGTGAAGGCTCGTGTGGACTTACAGTTCAGTAATATAGCGAAGTGCCTGGCCACAGAATGCTTTAAA